ACTCTTCCTCCAAGTGCATAGTTCAATAATAATTGAATAATAATTGAAGACAAAACTCACTTTCAAGGGTTAAGCTTGATGGTGGTACAGGAAGACTCACGTTTATCTTTAAGATTAACTGACTCATGTTTAGATGACGGCTGACAAACATACTCCAATGTCTGTGCATCTGAGTGCATCTGAGTGCAATAAGCCACTGAGAAAAACTGTTCTCTGGTCAGAACCAGTCCCTCTCTTCTAATACTTGTTTGTCAGTGCATGTCCCTTCATATATGTATCTTCTTTTTCTCTTCTGAGATTACATTTCATTGTATTTTCCAAGTTAAAAGCAAATTTACTTATGAATGTTGTTGGACAAAATCCGGCATGTAGCTGTGAATGCTGTTCAGAATACAGGTCCTAATATTTAAAGGACCTTCCTTTAAGCAACTCTTGTTCTGCCAAAGTTCCTATTTTGTTGTTGGATTACATGCTGTAAGTTTAAAGTTACTCCAACATTTCCATATTAGCATTACAAAGAAAGCAATCATTTTATGTGGCAAATGATGACTTGCTTTCATTCCTGTCTCTGCAGCTCAAACATCCCTATTCAACCTCTCTCACACACTTTGAAGCCCAACTCATTGGCATGCCGTCAACTTGAAGCAGGAGTGTGAGAGGCAAGGCTCAATCAGCATTAGATTTGACATTGCCCCTGAGACACTGGTGTGTAAATAGGCACTTCACAGGAGTTTACACAGTCATTCACAGCTCTATACCATCGGCATAGGCTCTACACTCCGCAAACTGGCTTTCTTGCCAGAGAAGGATGTTATTTTCTTTCTTTTCTCCTTAGGAGCAATTAAGCTGTAAAACTAAATTAGGCTGATTGCAATGCAATTGGTTCAAAAAGGGTACTTTGATGGATATGCAGTGATGCCATAAAGAGCTCAAAAGAAAGTAGAGTTACCCATATAACAAATGCAATATTTTTTTTACATTTCTGGAGAACATACTGTTCTCCAGAAATCAAAACATTACCAAAATTAATTTCTAACAATATGATGATGATATGTTGTATAAATACTCTGATTACTTTTAGCTAGTAATTAGGGGAAACATCCTTCTAAGCACTGCAAACAGGTATCTGAGAAGCAAACCATAGCAGGGGTCATGACTTTTTTTAACTTGATGAAGAAGTAGACATTTTTTTTACACAAGTTGGTTGGTTTCAGTTTAGAGTAAAGATCCATGTTGGCTTTCACAATTTACAAAATCCCCATTAGCAACTGGTAAAAACTGAAATGTTTGCAATGAAACAGTAACTTGGACATCCACGTTGCTCAAGTCCTGTATTAAATGAGACAGGTAAGTTAGAGTTTTAATGCACCAGACCAAGAATTGTCATGCTGCTTATGAAACCTTATGAGTCCGTATATAAAACTACAGTTTTTCATGAGGCAACAAGAAGAAAGAATGAACTTTACAATGTTTAGTCTGATTTCCATTTCAGACGAGGATTATTTAGGCAGTCAGAGTAGATATTCATCCCAAATGCTTTTGGTGGCATTTGGCCGCACCAGCACAAACAAGTCGTCTCGTTATGGAGAAGGGGGAAAAAGAGGAGAAGCACAGGAGCATGCCAAGTCAATTGCAATGGCTAAACAGAGCCAATGGTTCAACTGGAGAAGTCCAGAAAAAATGAAGCTGAGCTAAAGAGATGATGGATCTAAGATTTTCCAGAAGATCTACATATTGTCATCTTCCTAAAATAATGTCCAACATCACTTAAGTTGCCAAAAGTGATGTTTTTTGTCTAAAACATCTTTTGGGAAAAAAAAAGAGGTGGTGCTTGTTTTTCTTTTTTTTGCCAAAACCACTTTTGGCAAGAAATGACTTATGGAAGGTGACAATATGGTCTCTTACCCAATCCACAAGATCGTAGGCAGTGGTGTGGAGAACACTTCATTTTCTCCTCATGTAAACTCCTCCATTTTTAAGGCACGTATGATCAGGATGCACAAGCTTTTCCCAAGGAAGGAATGCCTAGCATCATGGCTGTGCTCAGAGAAATGACCTCAGTCATATAACTGAGGTAAATTATCGCAGTTGTTCATAAATAAGAAGTGGAATCAATCTGAATGCTATGATTTACACATTTATTGTTGGTGTTTCCCAACCCTGGTCCCCAAAGCACCCTGCCCTGATGTTTTAGATGTCTCCATGCTTTAATAGACCAGATTCAGAAGTGTGCAATTCAGCCAACACTTGTTAATTAGCCATCAATCAAAATCATGAGCTGAAGCAAAGAAAAACCTAAAACATTCACAACAGTGCATCTTGAGGATAATATGTGCCCTAGGCACATATTATCAGGATGCACAAGCTGATATCTTTTGGATATTATCAGTGCACTGGTAATATCAGCGTGCTGAAGAATGAAACCTCCTTTAAACAAATATTTGCCTTTAAAGTAGGTAAATATTGTACATGTTGTTCTGGATTTGAAATGGGAAGTCAGTCTGGAGAGAGAAGCTTGTGTTTCCCCAACATTATGATCACAACACTCTGAAGTGCCAGCTTGGCTTTGGTAGATAGCAGCAAAGAGTTAACGCTTCAATGCAAGGACAGTGTTGAGGGAGAAACTAAAAACACAGTCAATCCCAGAATGCCTGGATGTTGAAGTTGCTCCTTGGGGAAGTAGGATACAGGGGATTAATTGAGACTTGTATGAACCACCTCTACTCCCAAACAAATAGGAGCAAAGAGTCACTTCTTACCAGGAATCATCAAGTCCCTGTCTACTGTAGCAGAAAGGAGAAACAATTGCCTGTGGATTAAATGAAGGGAAAAATACCTCGGCTGTAAGATGAAACAGGAGGGTGTGAAGCTGAGGGGAATGCTCTTAGGATGGCAAGTAATTGTAATACTTTGTGTGAGTAAACAATGTTTTGCCTGCTTTCGACTAATGCAGCACTACACACCATCTTACCAGGTGTCACATTATTCTGTACAAAACTCTAAAACCAAATGTAATAAAATTTGAAACATTTTTCCTAATAAAAACCAAGAAGATGAACAGAAAAAATGTGGAGTTTAATGAATCTATACCAATAAGAAAGGAGAGTGAAAGTATGTGTTTATGTGCCTCTGTGTATATGTGTCCTGATGGATACCAAAAAGAGCAACAGATGTGTTAATTCAGAACATTAATTGTGGTATTTTTCCAACCAGTACCACATAATGTCAGCCTGAGTTTAAATCTTTTCTGCAGCAATAAGCCCTCATCTTACTAAACATTGCAATCCTAGTTCCCCCCACCAGCATGTAGCCCCCACATTTATAAAAACACTGCTTACTAATGTCTTGAGTGAGGTCGGTTTGACACAAATCATAAATTGAATTTTTTATTTTTTTTTTCATCTTGATATTGTTTGGTCTTAATTAGTTACCGTTCTAAAACAAGAAAATGTCCAGATCTCCCTTTTAGGAGCTATTCTTCTTCCTACTCACAGTATATGGGAATCTAAAGACTTTATGTCTATCAGGAAAGATGTAGAAACTAAATTGCTATTGGAAAGAAGTAATGTCTTCTTTCCAATAAGACATTATTGTCCGCTGACTTTCTTTTCAAACCACTGGCAATGTGATTTGAAAATATTCTGAGGAGAAAAATAAAAAGGAAAGCACTTTCTCCGAAAGTGTTGTTCTAGCCGGTGCTCCCAGGAGGCCAGGTGCTGTTGTGAGCTCACTCACACTAGTTCAAGGTTTCATGCTCTACCGCTTACATCACTGGCATTTCTTGTTATCTATGAAGTTAGCTGAAGTTTGACTCAAATGAGTGCTTTTTGATATGTCAGGGTTTTACTGTCTGTAAGGTTTAGTTGTGCAATTTTATTGATTTTATTGAAACTGGGTTTTAACTTTATGGATAATTTTTATCTTCCTATGTTGTGCAGAACCAAGATAAATCAGTATTTTTGAGGTGTTGTGATATGATTGTTGTTTTGTTTTTGTTTTTTTGTTACTGGTTTGTAAAATTTATTTAAAAATGTTCCACCATTTGATGCTTAATTCTCAAATCGCACACCATATATTTGTGTTAACCAGATGTCATTTACATTTTTAAAACTTTTTTTTTGTTTTCTATTTTCAGTAAAAAAATGTATATATATATATATATATATATATATATATATATATATATATATATATATATATATATATATATATAAAGGGAACACTCAAATAGATCTGAATGAATGAAATATTCTCATTGAATGCTTTGTTCTGTACAAAGTTGAATGTGCTGACAACAAAATCACACAAAAATCATCAATGGGAATCAAATTTATTAACCAATGGAGGCCTGGATTTGGAGCCACACACAAAATTAAAGTGAAATCTTCCCTTTTATTTTTGAGCACTATATATATATATATATATATATATATATATATATATATATATATATATATATATATATATATATATATATGTTTGTATGTATTATTTGTGTTATTGTTTTGTTTGTGAAATATTTTTAAATCACTTTAATAAATCCATATTGAAACTCTATTATGACTTGGTCAAAACAAAAATGATTGACCAATGCCATAATTCACTTCAGTGATATTTATTGTGCTTGTGTTCAGGTGAGCAAAGATGAAGATACACAACATATTTACGTTCAATGCAGGTTTAAAAAAGAAAAAAACAAACAGACAGACAACAGCACTACCTCCACTGCAAGAATCCATCACCTTCAAGGTGATTTGGTCGGAGCCTAAACTCAGACTGACTCGCTGCGGTGCAGAGCCGTCTAATAGCCAAAGGCTCCGCCCACAAGAAGGTTAAAAATAAAAAATTAAAAATTAAAAATCACTTCTAACTGAAGTAAACTCTTATCAAATTATGCAAAATAAAATAACCATAACACTTAGAAAAAAAATAAACAAACCTGTGACTAAAAATACAACGCTCTAATAGAAAACACCCAATACGTCCTGATGACATCATCACGCCATCACGTGACTCTCTCCCCAGTGCGCCACAATCTGAAGCGGGAAAATGTTTGACACTAAAAATTACAAGTTAGGATGGATATGACAACCGAGGCAGGAACACCGCACCAGTTTGACCTGAAACTAAAAAGTAAGTTGTTGTGCGAATGTTTGTGTGCTTACATGTTGACACGGACTTTATTTTATGGCTACGTCGCAGCTCGTGACGGACCGCAATGTTCATCTGAGTAATTAGGTCATATCTTCAATCTCACTGCAGAATACCGGCGCCAAGGCCTGGATTTGAAGTCCCCTCGACGAGTGTTTCAACTGTTGTGTACGACTAAAAAACAACTGAACTGAAAGTAAGTCAATAGGATTAATTTTCAATGTAATGGGCTTTTTGAAATATCGGTCTGACCAAAGATATTAACCAACATAAATATATTCACTTGCATGTACACTGAAATCCCAAAAATTTCAATTTAAATGTTGATGAACAGAAAATATTAAAATATTCATATAAAGTTTATAACATTTTAGTCTACAAAAGGTTGTTTGAATACCATTTCCATATATTGAACTTTTTAATTTGCCTCAACTGTCAAGGCATGGAAAGACTTATTGCCACATCAATCAAATGTCCTAAAAATAAACAGCCCAAGAACAGCTGTGCATTTGTCTAAATTTGTGCATGCATGTGTCTTCAGGAAGTAACAGCCAGTGAAGTGGGAGTGTGTAATCTCAGTTGTGGTGTTAGCAGATGGAGAGGGAAAACCACTGACAACACAGCTGGTCCTATGCTGTGCTACTCATAATAATCATCAGATTTTCCATAATTTCAAACCTCAAGGTTTCTTGTGTAAATCACAACAGCAAATCGCCCCACACATTTTGATTTATTTACTTGCTGGTTACCCGGAACAAATTTCATACAATTTGATGCAACTTACTTTCATGGTACAAAGATGACAGCTAGCTTTCAGAGCCCCTTTAAGTTTTAAGGTGAACTAGGTGATGTTAATTTGTCTCAGCAGGGCTGCATATTGGAATAGTTGGTAGCACTGTTGATATGCAGCAAGAAAGACCTCCATCCATCCGTCCGTCCGTCCGCAGAGATGCGATATTTCAGCATGTTCAGACTAAAAACACTAAAATCAGATTTTATTCAGATACTGTCATCTGATAGAACACACACTATTATTTTGGTAACATTTACACCATCATTGCATAAGAATAGTCATAAAGAAAGAAAAAAGTTTTTGTAGAAAGAGAAAACAACAACAAAACTGACTGTGGTGCAGGCACAGCAGGTCATTTGAATGCTGACTATTTTATGGTAAATGCAGGCTTTTGTAAGGAGCTTTGACTTACATACATTTAATGTTATATTTATTTCAGAATGATATGTTGCTTGCATCATTTATTAAAATCTTAATGCATAGTGATCTGAAAGACTTTAGTTCTGTTTTTTTTCAGCTAGCTTTTGATTACTTTTGTATCCATTCTTATTTCACAGAAGATCCTTGTGCTTACTCGTATTCTGCTTCATGCTTTACTGTGTTTACCTGTTACTTAGACTATTGTTTCATTTATAGCAGACTCTGTAGAGTTCGTTTTTCTACCCTAGTTAAGCCATTACTTTCCCTCAGTGCCTCGAGGCCTGCACATATTTTCCACAACAGTCATTATTTTAACTGAGTTAAAGTGGAACAAGGACACTGTTTAATCTGGCCAGAATAGTTCATACTTTACTGATAAATTTAAGTGTGGAACTCCTGGGAAGTTCAGTCAGCAGAAAAGTGGGAATGACATAATCTCCTCATAAACCACAGCCACTTCAAATTTCTGACCAGTCATGCAGTCTCGTTAGGACACTGTATGGTTTTTATTTTTTTTTTACTGATTATATGTCTAGAACAAGTGGAAGAAGTCTCATTCTTTTCCACATTCAGTCATTAGATTCAGCAGTTTCACATCCAGCAATAATTCCTACCAGTTTTTAAATGGGCTGGTTGGATACAATCACTATCAGATCCTCCTCTTACGCTGTAGCCTTGATAATCTCTTCTAGTTGGACAATACATGTTATTGCGCGCACACGAAGGTGAATGACAGCGGTAAGACCTTCCTCCTGGCTCTGATTGGTTGTTGCTGACCAGGAGATGGCTCTAGGACCACATGGAGGAGGCAGAGGAACTCAGTTTTTTTTTTTTTTTCTCAGACTTTGTCTCATGCTATGCAGTCACAACATGTTGATAGTATTTATAAATATGTAAAACAAAAAACACATGCTTTATATCAAACTTTTAAAACAAAATGAGGTAAAAAATAATTGCAATAATTTTTTTATCACCACAGCAAAACCTGATTTATAAAAAATATTTATTTCCCCCCTGGGGTTTTGGAAGTTAACATAACTACTGGATATCTTACAACCTGTAAAACCTAAATAATGCACTTGATAGTACAGGAATACACAATGTGAGCATGAGAATTAACAGGTGTGCCATTGAAGACAATACCACGTAAAAATAAAACCACTGACTTTTTGATTAATTCACAAATTCAACGTTAAATGGTATTAATCAGTCTCTTATATCTATATCATATTTCTGATTAGGTAAACAAAACTCCTGTTCCAAAAATGCCAAGATGTTAAATGTTCATAAGTTGAATTACTCTTAACTATAGTGATGTAAATTCAATATTATTTTGTTTTAGACAAATTGGATGGCACACGTCTAATATTAGAAGGCAATAGAGTCTTGAAACTTGACTTAGACTTGGTAAAAATGACTTGGGGAAAATCTGTGATAACTCAGGAAAAACAGCAGAAAACTGTCTGTCACGCCTACAGAACCAAAGTTGCCTTAGTGCTGATAGTGTAATTTTTCTAATTTCACTCTGTGAAAGTTAGTCGTAACTTTTGTTTTGTTTTTGGTATCAAAATCCCATATACATATTTATTTTTATGAAGCTCCCATACTAATGAATAAGTATGTGAGCTTCATTCTTGCATTAATTTCTGTTAGCTATTGATCGAAGGAAGACCACCATTCTGCAGTAGTTCTGCAAGGGAGGCGTATCGACTAGAGCAGGCAACTGCATGTTGCTACACTAAGGAGAAAAGATGAGTGTGTCTATCGTGTTATGATGGATCACCGTGAGCTTCAAAGGAGCTAATTGGGTCTTGATGAGGCTAGTGTTTTACTGAGAAAGAATACAAAGCTAGATTAGCACATTAGCAGGGTTAATCAATGAGAAAATGAAGGTGTGCCACTGGTCTTTCTCCTGTTTGCTGACCCATACACATTTTTGCATCTTGAAAAACTGCTCTCAAATTTTAATCCTTATAGATAAAAAAAAATGTGTATAATAAATAATGCTCACCTTTTTTGAAACAGTAACTCAAAAAAGAGTGCACTAACTAGTTTGCTTTCTAACAGTTTAAAGAGCAATTCTGTATTTGGGCAGGTCTTGCAGGTTAAATCTGCTAATCTGTATAGATAGGAGAAAATAAGAAGACAATGAATACTGGTAGTTTGTATGTGGTAAGGACTTTGGATTTTTATAACAAAATGTTTACTTGAAATACTCTAAAAAAGAAATTAATTCAGTCAAATAAATGTCAAAAATGTATCTTTTAAAATGTCTTATCCACCTGTGAGTTGTGATCACAACAAAGATATCTGTAAATTAAGATAAGTGAACAGGCAAGTAGAAGAAAGTGGTTCTGTTCGTTGTGTTCTAACACCTTTTTGTACTTTTGCCATTTTGTCAGAGGTTTTGGGGGATAAAAAGAGGAATATTTCACTACACATTTCTTGCATTAATTTGCATCATCCTTGGAAATGTTTTATATGGATCTTCAGTAAATCAATGACTGAAGGCCCATCTATTTAATGGTAATGTTCCACATGCAGATATGCAAATTCTTTGATTAAAAGCCTCAATCACCTTTTAATATGGAGTAGCAGCAGTTCTTTTTCATGGTCGCCTGTAATTTTAGAACGTCTCACAGCCATGTCTGTACATCCTACACTGGAATCTCATTTCAACTAGTTGTAGGCAGGATCTTGTTCTTGCTGTCATGATCTTCACTTTTTGACCTAACTCTTTTTTTTCACAACAGATTAGATCAATGTCTTCAGTGATGTACACAAAACCACCATCTGTCCATCCATCTTCCAATCCATTCTACCATTACTTGTGAACAAGACACAAACCAAGTTTACCTCCTGTCATCGAGACCACCAAACCAGAGGAAGCAATACACCTTTTCCTAGCAAAGAACCATAGCTTGAGATTGAGTGGAGCAGACTCTTATAAATGTATTTACTACGTAGTTCACTGTAAACCAGTGTGTTTATGCGAGTTGCGTAAACTATAGAATTGAACGTTTTTTCAGTTTTCTCCATAACACGTAGGCAAAGCTTAAGGACTTAAGAATGCAAGTTAGTTAGTTTACATGAAATAGGGGTTGGAATTACCAATTTGCACATTGACTACAAATCAAATTAACAAACAAAAAAAAAAAATCTGCAAAATTTTCTTTTATGATTTCTAATGTAGGACTGGGTTTCCTCCAGTAAAAATTAAGTACAAGTCTTGTTAGCTACTCTATTTTGGATATTTATGTCACATTTAGTTTCTCTTCTTCTGTCGGCAAATCGCAAGTTCTCTTAATTGCTGACAACTATTAAAGGCTAAAGTCTATTCATGAACAATTTTAGGTTTCAAAATATTGTCACAGCCATTAGTGAGTGTAAGGTGCAAACTCTAAAGA